GATTTCTGAAAATTGAGATTTTATTAGATTTGAATTATGCATCTGAACATGATTGTGAATTATAATAATGTGATTATGTGGAAAGTATGTGAATGTATGTGATATAGTCAATTTGTATTGACTTTTGGGATTGATGGACGTGATGCATATTGGTGTATGCATTCTGATTTGGTGTTCGATGCATATTGGTGTATGCATGATGAATATTGGTGTATGCATGATGCATATTGGTGTATGCATTCTGATTTGGTGTTTGATGCATATTGGTGTATGCATTGATGCATATTGGTGTATGCCATTTCTGATTTGGTGTTTGATATATATATGCAATGTGGTTTAGTGTGTGTAACTCATATTTGTTTATGTAATTTCATCTGGTAAAGTGAGTATAGTATGGTTTGGTATCGGGGTATGGTTATTGTATTGAATTGTTATCTCACCCTTGCTTGTGTGTGCATGTGAATGCGATGATCGTATAATGCGTGATGTTATACGGGAGTAGATGTTATTACAGATGCGATGGCTGAGCTTTTTGAACAGCATATAAGGTCGAAAGAGAGATGGGATAGAAGACTTGGGATTGCAATTTTTTAGTGTTTTAAACCCCCCAAAAAAATTTATTTCGATCTGATATGTTGACAATTTATGTCGGAAGCATCGATTGTAAGTAAATACTGTATATTTTGTGTCTATGTTGAAGTTTCAAATTTCAAAATTTTCCATTTATTTTTACGGAAAAAAATTTCGTCGATTGTAGCGCAACGATTGGGCGGTGCTGCGCACGTATTGAGTCGCACTCGCGCGCGCTGAATTATACATCTGCTGTAAACACACAAAACACTCAAGTGTGCCCTGTACACCTGGATTGTTCACTGTTTGTGACACACAATAGGCCAGCGCAGGTCTTTGTTCGCCGGACTTTCAGGGTTTTTCATTATGCTGTGAAAAATTAGATAAAATTATATACGAAAAATTAAAAATGAAAACTTAATTATAAAGTCATTTTTTGTTAAGGAATTGTGAACAATGAGTGTTATAATTTTGTTTCCAGGCCAATTATCAATTCCTTTGATGTAATTATGATTGTGAAAAATTAGATTAAAATTAGATTAGACAAAAATTATAAAATAAAAACTCATTATAAAATCATTTTTTGTAAGAAATTGTTTAACAGCGAGTATTTCTGATTTTTTCCAGGTCAATTATCAATTCCTTTATGCTTGTGAAAATTGGATAAAATTAGATAAGACAAAAATTATAAGATGAAAACTCATTATAAAATCATTTTTTTGTAAGATTGTTTAACAGCAAGTGTTTCTGATTTTTTCAATTGGGGCTACAGTAGGGATGACAGAGAAAAGATTGGACTGAGAAAGAGAAAAGAGAAAGAGTTGACAGGAATGAGAGAGGTGAGTAAGGGTTTGGGGGATTTCTTTTTTTCCTTTTTTAGTTTTGAGAATGAAAATTATTAAAATACCCTTAACCTTAAAACTTTGAATCCATGATATATAAGGATATTTTTGTCTACTAAAACCCGGTACACATTGCTAAAATGTACCAACTGAAAAACAGGCGTACGCGCGTTAGCAAACCCCATATATATATATATATATATATATATATGAGAATCGAATAGTAAAATGTAACATTTAAGGCTAATTTTTATTGGTAAAGTACTCTATGTAGTTGCAAAGAGTTATTAGTTTGATTAAGTTAATAATCGTTATTGATATATATCTTAATATTTGTAAAGGATTATTTTTTTATACAAATTATTACTATTTTACTTTCCCTAGATAGTTAATTCAGTACGATATATATTGACATGATATAATAAAAGTACATTCTTATTATAATAATTTCAATTTTATTAATTTTATTTCAATTTTATTAAATTTTGAGATAATTAAATACATGTTTAGTTTTAACTTTATGATGTATTTATTAAAGAAGAGAATTGATGTTAATATACAATTAAATTTTTATTATTTATTTTTATTTTATAAATTTAAAATTCTTTTAGTGTTTCTTTAATATTAATCACATATCAACATTAATATTATCTCTAATAAACACGGATGATAATTACTATAATTAAACTAAAGACGTATTAATTATATTAATTATTAATAATATATAAAAATAGAAAGAAAATATTTATTCTAAATCTGCAATTTTGTTACTAAAAGTAATAATTTATTTAAATCTAATAATTATTATAACAGTGATCTTTTTATTTATTTGTTTGTTATAAAAAAGTGGACACGTCATGTTATTGAGTGGTCAATGGGAAAAGAGATAAGAGAAACACAGAAAATGAGAAGTTTGATTTGGTTTTTGTCAAAATGAGGGCAGACCGAGTTTTAAGAGAGATTGGTAAGAAAGTGAGTTGCAGGTACTTTGGATTGAGACGAGGCAACGCAATGACTCGGATCCTACGCACTCTCCACATCTCACTTCAACAACACATACAACCTTCCAAATTCTAACACCTTAATCTTTTTTTCTAATATTATTAAAATTTTGTACAAACCGCGTGACTTCGCTCAGAATTCAATGTGATTGCGACCTTCATCAAAATTACCTTCCTGCATATATATTATATCTATATAACTTTTGCAGTTTCGCTCTGTTTTTCACGTCTCAATTCTTTCATATACACATAACTTCTCAATAATTCTTTCGTATTTCTCGTTACCAATCCCAGTTAGATCAATATGGCTTCAAAAGATGGTAACGATTCACCATTTTTTTTCTCTTCTTCAATTTTTTTGCTTTGTTATTTGCTCAGACTGAATTCATATCTGTGATCCAAAACAGGTGCAGTTATCGTTCTCATGGGTGTCTGTGGCGCTGGAAAGACGTAAGCTTCTTCTTTTTCTTTTTTCAACATATTGTTGTTATGATGGTGGTGTTTTCGTATATTTGCACTTGTTTTTATAAATCTTTGAGGATGAGAAATAAATTGACATTAGAATGTGACAGCCACCATTAATCAGAAGACATGAAAGTGTTTATATACACATACATAGAAAGAGGATGATCATTGTTGAATATTGCTGTTGCAAGTGATTGCTTTTAACCATTTTCAAGCTGTTGAACAGGCTGATTGGTTAACATTTTTTATTGGTTATGTCTTCACAGAACAATAGGTCGGAGGCTGGAGAAAGAGATGCAGTATAAGTATCTGGATGCTGATGATTTTCATTCTGAATTAAACAAAGGTGTGTGTATGATTTCTGCAAAAGGACTGTTTCTCTCTGCTTTCTTATTTCTTTTTTCTCATTTTTTTTTGTTTTCATCCGATTTCTTCCAATACAACAGAAAAGATGCGAATGGGAATCCCACTCACAGATGAAGACAGGATACCGTGGCTTGAAGCACTGCGTGATGTCATAAACGAATACTTGGATAACAAAAAGGGTCTGATTCTTGGTTGTTCTGCTTTGAAGAATCAATATAGAGAAATGCTTAGATCAGGTTACCCTGCTTATAAATGGGGAACTTATGCAAGTCCTGTTAACTTCATTCTGTTGGATGCTCCTGCTGAAGTGCTGAGTGTTCGAGTTAATGCGAGAGCTGCAGAAGGAAAACATTATATGCCTGCATCACTTCTGCAATCTCAGTTAGATTTGCTAAAGATTGATGACTGCGAAGGAATACTTAAAGTTGATGCTACTTTGACACCCGAAGCCATTGTCAACACCATTCTAAACAAGCTCCAGTTTCAGGGCTGTTTCCGTCATAATTGTATTGAGTTTCATTGATAAATGAATCTCTAATAATTTCATAGTTTCAACTATAGTTTTTACAAATAAAAGGAGGAATATGATTATGCCTGAAGAAAAGGGGAAAGAGAATGATTTAGAACAGGATAGACTATAGAGAAAAAAAAGGCCAAGCTGTACATATGATATTCTTATTGGTTGATGCTATTCTATTTCTTTTTCACCATATATCGAATATAAGAAAATTCCCAGTTTAAACAGATCCTAGTTTTGCAACTGGATTTGTTTTCTTATTATCCTTTAATTGATGTGGTGATTGTACAAACTAAAACACCAAATATTTTGAATCAGAATTTGGTTTGGTTCGTCTTTGCAAGAATGAACTGGATGTCATTGAATTTCAAGATTGGTCTTCACAGACTGGATAATAATTAATATCGAAATTTGGTGAACATCTGGAAAAAGAAAACTGACTTGACTGATCTTTCTGCTGCCATGTTGCCTGAGAATTTCGTATAGGAAAGAGTCCATAGCAAGTGCATGAGAGTGACAATCATTAGCCATGTTGTCTCGTTACCCAGGCTTACCTTAAATTATCTGCAACTTGTTTCAAAGGTCTGTAGTAAAACATAGTTGGCCAGCCATTGTGATTCTCCACAGAAAAATAAAATAAAATCAACTGTAAGAACTTTAGGCTTTGGAAAAAAGTAAACAAAAAGTTCCTGTGAAAGTGAAGGAAATACTTGTTTGTATCTAGTTAAAAATGTTCAACTTATTCTATCTTTTACTTTCTTTTCATCTTCGAAGTTATAACGTGATCGACAATGGGCCCTCAAATTGCAAAAATCCTACCTATTTTCCCTGTTTTTCTTTTTCAATGAAAAAAGAGATAAGTTGCAGCCTGCTTCACACAAGACTTTTCTGCATAACATTTGAATGGGCGGTAACTACAATTAATTAATAAAACAAAACTAGCCTTTTGCCGCTATAGGTGACACTCAGCATCATAATTAATTATAGAGTCTTTTTAATAATGTCCTTTAACCTTTGTTTACTTTGCTTTAGCCTATTTACTGTTTGCAGGGGTGGAAGGACATGAATTTGTGCTGAAAGTATAATGGACCCGGGGTAAAAAAAATGCATTATTTTTATATATAGCTGATTATGATTTTTGTATTTAATAGTATTAATAATAATAGAAAGATTATTAATAACAAATAAAATCATTTTTCTTTTAACTATTTTTTATTATTTTTCAAATCACCTAAACAATTTTATTTTTCACACTCTTTTTTTTTCTTTTGTATTTCCTTCGTTTCCTTTCTTTAGTACTCTAAATTTCTTTCGCACCATCAAAATAGAGTATGCATTAGGGTCTTTTTTTTTCTCCTCTGCAATCCTTTTTAGAAACCATGAAATCTGCTGTCAAAATTATCTTGGCTGATTGTCATTTTTTCTCAATAGATACTTCAGACCAATATCTTCTCGCGTACAATCCTTTGAGAATTAATTATATAGCCAAAATTTTATTTTAAGCAAAGCAAAGCATCAACATCATCACAGAAAAAAATCAATAAAATAATTAATCAAGTCATAAAACACTATCCCAACAGGAATTGTAAACCACCACTGAACAGTTTTGATTTCAATAATTGTTCCTAGAGGTGCATAAATTGAGCTTGGCTTTTCGTGTGGGCTCCTCGGCAGCACTAGTCCTTTTCCAGGGGAGGTGCAGAAGTGAAGATCATACATTTCCTTTTTGTCACCGCAGCAAAGCCTTATTTTTTTGCCTTGGCAAATCTGAGGCAACGGTATTTTTCACCACTTACAGTAATTTCAAGAGCTCCATCTTGGTTATCTTGATTTGACGCAGTTCCCATCAACACACTTTTCTCTTTCTCCAGATTGTCTCTCTCCATCTTCAGCCTTGCTTCTTGTCGGGCAATCTCAGCCTGGAACATTAAAAAATTAAGGATAGTGAGGATGTCTGATTTTTTGTTCTTTAATTGCAAGGTCATAAATGGAAATTTGTTTGGTAAATAGAAATATTGTTACAATGTTCGGTCAATTTCAATCTTTTTTGTTTCATATTCCCAAATGCAACAATATTTATGCTTTACGAATAATGTAGCACACATTTTCACAACGTAAGATAAGGCACTGAATGATATAACACATATCTTCACTAAACATAAACTAGGTTCCAGGAAGGTGTCTGAAACATGTTATCAGTCATTATTAAAGACGTAAAAAGAAGTGTGGTGTAGAGTAGAAATGCCTGAAAAATATAACGCTCTAGTCTAAGGAAGAAACATTTTGCAGAGGGGCTTCTCTGGTGTCATCTGATGAATTGATTGCAAGAACAACAATCACTAAAACAATATGACAAAGGCAGACTCCTAGGGCAAAGGAATTTCAAGATCTAATTTAAAGGTCAATTTACTTGTTAAAGATCTCACATTGACTAAAAATAAGATTAAATGAGTTGTAAAATTTACTTTACAAGTTAATTCTATGAGGATGAGTTATTTATAACTCCACTTTTTAAGATGGTATCAAAATCATTCCAAGCTTATTATGCTATCTGTTATAGGACTCACCTACAAATATTTAATTTTTCACTTGAAATGTTCATTCTTTGATGTGAGGAATGCGTTGAAGATCTCAAATGAAATAGAGATAAAGTCTAATAGTATATAAGACCTTACAAGTCAGCTAATTAAGTTACTGCCTAACCACTTTTTGCAATTCTAACACTATTTATTCTGCTTCTAGCAACCATGAAGCACAAGTTTTAGTTATATTTGTTTTCTCAAGCTTAAAATTTTAGGGATTGTTGTTTTTATTTAATTTGTTCCAAAATATTAGTTGAGTCATAACTCCTATTAAGGGGTTTATCATGTGTCAAACTCAGAAATTTGGGGGATGAAAAGCTTCATTTATTCAGATTGTGTGATACATAAAGAATCATTTATCCGTAAACTGTTCATGATTAAAAGCCACTTTGCTTTCTTTCTTCAGTTTCAGAAGCATTATAGACTAAAATTCGACAATATCAATGCATCATCTGGTATAAAATACTCAAAATAATCAACCTCACATTGTTTTAGTTAAAGAATCACTTCCTTGTATAATTTCAAGTGCCTAAAGGCCGTTTGCTTCCTTTCTTCAATTTCAGAAGCAGTTCACTGAAATTGCATCAATATCAATATATAAATTTGAAATTATTCTACTGCATTTCACTTTGCCAATTATTCACAAAAAAAATAAGAGGAGATATTCACCAGTGTACCGCAAGGTTACAATTTAGAAATTAGGAAAATAAAATGAAATGCTACATCGTGACCATATGTCACATAACAGGATTCCTGTCAAAATTCAAGTGAAATTGGCATTGCCACATTGCTATCACACATCTTGCATATAAATACCAGTGGAGCCTAGCAGAAATTTAGGAAAGGGTACAAATACTGAGACAAATATCTAAGAAAGACTTGTTTAAAAAATTATGTACTTTTAGACGAATAGAAAACTACCTAGTAATTTAAACCATAATTCATGCAAAGCCATTTCAATGCCCCGTAGAAGTGTAGAACACAGTTAACATTCCCATATTTTTTGTTTATTTTTAGACATTGAGACCACCTACCTACAAATATAAGCCATAATTCATGCACAGCCATTTCCATGCTCAGCTGATAAAAGGAAGTTAATCAGAGTTTTACCAATAAAACTAAACTAGGAACAACAGTATTCTTTCACTTCATATGATCAACCATAAACAGTATTTTACAACCATTGGCATCTTTTATTGATTACTTTACAAAGTACTGATAGAATCTTGCAGCAACAGTAACAAAATAATTTGGGTTCAACTTTCTCAGATGTTCGCATAACAAAGACAATTATTATATGTAAAAATTATCAGAAGCATAGCCATGGGGAGTGTCCCAATGACACAGGTCAGGCTGTAGGACACATCCCTGTAATGCAGTTCATCCCTTTCCCATGCCCCTATGAACTTACTCCAATGCCCACCTTTGTAGTCAGTCCTCACGTGAACGAGAAACAAAAGTTGAGAGGAAGTCTATAGTTATTCATCATGTATATGTTGGATATCCCACATGGATTAGAAATATAACCAAATTCTGATTTATAACTAGATGGAAACCTATTTTACTAAAGTAGTTTTGTGAAATTGAGCTACACTTAAATTCTACTTTTTTAAGATAGAGTATTAAAGTCATTTACAGCCTATCTACTCAAGTTTAATCCCATGCAGTCGTGTGAGTTTAAGTTAGAGTTAAATTTCACTTTCTCAAAATGGTATCGGAGTTACTCAGTCTATGTGAAAGGAAATGTAGAATGCACATTACAACCATGGTTGTCAAACTTTTAAGTAAACTCTTAAACTTTTATGATTCCAAGTAGGCCAAACGAGTTAATTATCCATTAAAAAACATACTAAACTTGAGAAAACTCTGAAATCAAGAAGTGAGTTTGAAATCATATGTAATTTTTGCCCTCGTTGACCCCACAAAATGTTTTACTGGAAAATCAAATTATTTGAAGAAATTAACTCCCTTTTAAAATGTTATCACTTTAATAAGTTGAGTTTTTAAAAAGTTATATATGATTTCATCGTTTATGTGGTTTATCTTATTTGGTACTAATGTATTATCAAACTTTTATTATTTTGATTTTTTATTTTTCTTAATTATGAAGCTAAAATGTTAAACTATTGATGTGTTAAAAGAGTATTTTGTTAATAGGTCTTTCCAATATTATCTTTTAGAAGAACATAACGTTCCATTACAGGTCAAAATTTGAGAAGCTCCGTGATTAACAAAGAGGTATTTGGATAAATGTTGCACTTAGTTGGCTGACGTTCCAAAGCTTCAGTTACTGAGAAGTAACAAATTGTATCTTTGAAATGAACGTGTGTTTGAGACCCTCACACAGAAAAACCAACAAGCACACAGACTCTCAAATTTCACAACCTCTGTTACAACAACAATAGTCTTATCCAACTAGGAGATAGCACATTAAAGTAAGAAAAATTAAAAAGATTACAAATTTGAAAGAAATGGATAATCAGTAGATACCTCACGACGAGAAAGATCAGCCTTCCAAGCAGCCTCACGTTCCGAAACCTCACGTTCACGCTCTTCAATGTAACTCTGCATCTCTCTATCCTTCATGATCCTATCCTTAATATCAGCATCCAACGATTCTTGCAACTCTTGGACAAACTTATCTACCACTGCCTTTATTCGGAGAGACATCTTGTGCTGAAACCCCAATACACACAAATCCAAAATAATCTTTCTATACCCAATTACTCAGTTTCATAAATGGAATTCCCTTACACGTTAGTTTAGCTCATTTTTCTAAGTTTTTTTTTTTTTTTTTACATAAAAAGTGTAAAAGCCCACATAACAATCAATTCCTTAAAATGAATCCAAACTAAACATTTGTTTTTCATTTTAAGCCCACAGAAAAGGTTTGCATAGAATTTCTATTGCACTGAATTTCAAATTTAGGCTTTTGAATGGAGGCTCCGAATGAAAACGCAGTTTCATATCACGTAAAAAGTAATGAGGGAAAACACTTTCTTTCAATGGGCCCATGCTATGCATCATCACTTTTGGTTCTTCAGAGTTGCTCCCTCCACAACCCAAGTGATTCCTACCCTTCTTCACTGTTTCTTTTATTCTAAAATTATCTTATATTAATTTAAATTTTATTATTTAATTTTATTTTTCTTTTTTAAAACTCTAAATCTCCGTACACCCATTTACTTTTATCTTTTTCCGATTGCACACAAACTAGTTTCTCCCTTCTTCTTTTCTTTTCTTTGCGTACAGAACCCCCACCATTGCTTAATTATCTCATTCCCCTATTTAACCAAATTAATTTATTTTTAATTTTGCTCAAATTTCATCCACATCCCCTCTATCCATCTCTTTATCTTTCTATCTATCTATTTTAAATGTATGTGACTCCACATGAACTAAACTGTCTTATAGTTTTGCTCACTAAGAGTTTAATCATGATTAATGTTGTAATTCAGGTAAACCTAGTAGGTGGCTATTATGGTACTGGAGACAACGTTAAGTTTGGGTTGCTAATGGCCTTTACTACAACATTGTTAGCATGAAGTGTGATTGAATTTGAAAGCTCAATGATGGACCAGATTGAAAACGCTAGAGACAGCAGCTACACTTGCAGCTTCTTCGATAGTATTCGGAGATTCAGATCCAGCGTATTCCTCCAAATTGCTTCAAGCAGCCATAAACGTAATTAATAAATATAAAAAATTGTTCCTCCATTTTTATTTCTTGCTAGCTAAAGTGTTCTGTATGTTAATTGTCTGATTAATCAATCTGAATGTTTCTTTTCAGGTATTCAATTTTGCAAACCGTTACAGGGGTTCTTACTGTGATTCTCTTGGTTCTGTTACATGTCCATTCTACTGCTCTTACTCTGGATACCATGTAAGGCACACATAACTTCAAAAACTTAATTATATTTGTAACAATGAAACATGTGGCACGAATACATGGTTTCTGATTGGACTTGTTTTTGTTGTAAATGCTAAATAAATAGGATGAACTTCTGTGGAGTGCATCATGGATTTATAAAGCCTCAGGAACTAGCTCATAAATGCAATATATTCGATCCAATGACCACATTTTAGGTGTTGATGATGATGGTTTCTCCTTCAGCTGGGATGACAAGCGACCCGGAACTAAAATCCTCCTTTCCAAGGTACCCTCTTTGTTCCCTCTATTTACTTTCAACTCAAATTTCTTGTAGATAGATTTTTTATATTCTTTGAGGGAAAAAAACTGAACTTTTTTCACAAACAAAATAAACTTGTAAAACATTTACCTTTTAAAGAATAGATCAGATAAAAGTTAAACATACAAATTGATTTTAGGTTGCACGGAGATTCTAAATTCAGTTTATGTGACCCTACATGCCATCAAACTTTGTATACGTGTGTCACTTACAAGATTATTTTGGGTGGACTCGATGTCAGGAATTGTTGTTGGAGAAAAATTCAGAATAGTTCCAATTATACAAGGCTCCGCCCAAACTCTTTCTTAAATGGATATTGACATTTGTTTGTTCTTCAACGGATGTCGATATCCGTTCATGACATCCATTTAAGAATCCAACGTATATTCATATCCATTTAAATATTATCGAAGGACAAAATAGGAATGGAAAGATATAGAGGCAGTGAGTGGTGGTGGAGGGAGTAACTCTCTTGGTTCTTTTATTTGGACCCATACATTATTTGCTTTTTTTTTCTCGATTATTATTTTGGCATTGCTCTATTTTCCCAAAGGCCAAGACGTGAGTACTGGAAATTTGTGGCAAATTTCATTCTTACGAGACAACTAGGTATGTCTTGTAATAACTTAACCAATTAGTAAATTTTTTGGAGATATCTAACAATATGTTTGTTTTAAGCTGAGTGTTATTGGTGAAAACTTATTTGATGAAGGTGTCACAATTGTTTGGATCTCATGATCTATAGGAAATAAGAATGCTTATTTGTAGTAAAATGTTAAATTTGGTCCTTCACAAGTTAGAAGAGAAACACAACGAAAGTATAGTTTTCAAATTATCCTTATTTTTTTCATATGCATATGCATTATTATAAAGATTCTTAAATAATAGTGAGAGGTCAGAAATTCCTTGATCATAAGAAGGTTTGTACAAGAAAACTTCAGGCTTTCATCAACGAAATTATATCTATTCATAATGATAAATTATGAAGGAATTATTGACAGATATTATTATTTAATTTATCGATGAAATTATTTGTTGGTAAGATTTTATGTGAAAATTTTGTCTGGACGTTGTGCATATATAATTGTCATTATATTTTTTGTTTATCTAAAAAATATAATATTCAAATATTGACAGGTTTGTCTGAGTATAAAGAACATAACCCATTGGACTTGAAATATGCATTGCATTGTATCTATGAATATTCACAGGTAATTATTAGCAAAAATCAAATTTGATTAATAAATATTATCAACTGTATTTTTACTGACTGATTTTGTACTATTGAAAAAATTATTTACCCATAGATTTTTTACGTTTTTTTGACAAATTTTCACTATCAATAATACTTTTTTTTAGTTGAACATGACACTAAAATTTTGTGAGTTCATCATTTTGACTTCACATTGACTCATTCATCCTTCTTACTTCGTAGTTGTGTGCATGGTGTGACCTGAGTAAAATGTATTCGTGGATTGTGAAATGGTGATTGCTAGTGGTGTTGTTGGAAGCTAAAGAAAGGTGTTGATGGAGGTGGTTTGGTGGTGTTAGGTTAGGACGTTTCAATGGTGGACTTGATTTCAAGAATATTGGTTAGTTCTTAACATTTGTACATGAGAATCGATTATCCATCCACAAATTAAGGGTATTGGATATGATACATGGTTTTCATAGTGCAATTGCAACATTGAAAGTTCAAGCCTAATTGATTATGGGAAGCACATTATTGATTATCCTTGCATGTTGTAGGTTAAAATTCATTTAATGTTGTTATAAATTTCTTCATAAATTTTGCAAAGGTGTTTATTATCCTTTTGTATGATGTTTTCTAAAGCAATTCAGGTTAAAGCACAAGGTCAATTTATTGTAAGTCAAGCCTTAAATCACCGAGAGAAGACTCAAAATAAGTCAAGTGAGTTTGGTCATAAATCATAGTACCATTATGAATTCAGTCTCTGAAATGTCGTCAAAAAGCATTCTATAAAAATAAAAATTATCATTAGAAAATAGATTTAGCTATGTCTTGAAAATTTTCACATGTTCATTTGGATTAATTGATTTATTACATTGTGTATTGTCATCACTTTATTGTGATTGACACTTAACTCATTATGTAAGACTTGGAGTTTCATCTGATATTTTTATCAAACTAAGTTAATATGGTTGGCCACCTTTTATTACAAATTATGTATGTTATTTTATCTTGTGTTGCATTTGTGTCCATTTGGCATGTATAATTATTCATTTTTTTATCGTGGAAAAATAATGAAAGTTATAAGGTTGGTTTAATAGTAAAAGTTGAAGAGAGGATAAAAGAGGTTGTTAGTTTAACTCTTCCACTAACATTTGAAAAATAAAATGTTAGTTTGAAGGGTTTAGAAGTAAAAGTAGATGAGATTGTGAGTTCAACTCTCTCCGTTAACATAATATTAACAATTATTGATAAAAAAAATTGTGGAAGACAAATCTATCTGGATGAACAAGAAAAGCCTTTATGACTTCTAATAGAAGTCAAAATAGTTGCTCTGGAAAAAAAATTTCAACGTCAAATGTATAAAAGATAGAACATTTTTTAGTAAGTTGTTGAAAGTATAACAAGCTTTGGAAAATGATTGTCTAACCAAACAATGAAGGTGTACTTATATAACACGTACCATTCTATTTAGTAAAAATATTAAAATATTAGTAGTCTTTTAAATATAAAAAGAGAAAATAAATATTGAATTATGAAATTATACTCTCTTAAATATGATTTTTTTAGTCTTTTAAATTTTCATAAATAAATTAAATAATTTAGTAAAGTTATATGAGATATTTTCTTATATTAATTAAAAAAAAGATCTAAGTTGTTATTTTAGGAAAACAAGTTGCTAATAAAAATATGAACTAACTTTCATGACAATTTACATGTAAATGTTCTCTAATGTACTCATCTACACTGTAAATTAAAACAATATTGATCGAAAGAAATATATTAGTAAATTCAGTTAAATCTATGATGAGATATTAGTTAACAACACAATGCAAATACCATTAAGTTAATTTGTAGTGAAAAAAATAAATCAATGTTCCTCAAAATATAACTAAAGGATAACAAAGAACTACTTACTTGTGTCAGAATTGTTGTAATTTGTATACTTTTTTGTCTATTGTCTATGTGCATTTAATTTCCATTAATAAACAAAATAGTATGAAATTTTGGTTTTTTTTTACTCTAATATATACAATTTATAATTAAATTGATCAAAATGGATAACTTTTAAAAAAATTACAAATTTAAGTAAGTTGTTTAAAGTAAGACAACTTGATATTTTTTAACAAAAATTTTATTATTAAAAAGGTAAAATCGTACAACATAACTTTAGTGTAAATAAATGAGTTACGTACAAAAACGACTTTGATTAGTCGAATACATTTGTTTATATTTTTTTATATTTTCAGTAAAATCGTGATACGGTTTTACTTTAAATACATTTAAGCAGAACTCATATCAATGTGATACAATTTTAGAGTCATAGGTTGAAATTGTGAGTTTGATATGATTTTAATGTAATTGTCGGAAGGAGAATCCTTGCATACAAAGCAGTGTCCTTATGTTTTTGTGTTTATAAAATGAAAAGAAAAAATGGCATATGAGTTTAGTTAAGAAATAGTTAAATTTTGAAGGAAAGAAATAAA